TCTAATTCTCTTCCTTGCCTTTTCCTTCACTGTGTTTTCCACTGTTTATGCCCCCAGCCTTCAATGTGGTTCTGAGACACTTTAGAGGTAGGAATAGCCTTCTAAGGTCACTTTCAGATTAAGGTGTGAGAGGCTATGGGCAGATTCTCCTTCATGAAAACAGTTTCCCTGCAATTATTACTTCATTTTTTTGAGAATAACTAGTCCCCTTCTAGATTCATATTTAAATACCTAACATCTAAATGTGTATACACACACACACACACACACACACACACACACACACACGAAACAGAATTATTGCATAAAGTTATGAAAATAGAAAATAGGAGGAAGTCCTCTATAATCCCACCTATTTTGAGAGGGGTGGGTACTGGGGATTGAACCCAGGGGTGCTCTACCACTGAGCTGCATCCCCAGCCCTTTTTATTTTTTTACCTTGAGATAGGATTCCCACTAAGTTGCTTAGGGCCTCACTAAGTTAGGCTAGCCATGAACCTATGATCCTTCTACCTCAGGCTCATGAGACACTGGGATAACAGGCATGCGCCACCATGCTGCCCAGCTAGAATCCCACCATTCTAAACAACTGCTTTTAGCACTGTACTGCCTTTCCTTCTGGTCTAGTCGTCCACTCTCCATGTCCCACCTCCCAGGCCCCCCATACTGGTTATCACAAAGACTGGGCAAATCTCCCCGATAGTTGGTGAATGAATTTTCAGTTACATTAGAGTGCAAGAAGCTATAGGATGAGGGTGGAGAATGAAATGCCACCACCTTGTCTTAAAAACCACATGATCTAACTTTTTGTTTTATATCCTGCAGTAATCTCCTTAGTCTATAGAGTCAACTCCAAGCCCCTTAGACTGTGTCCTGTGGGGCCCTCCAGGAGTGAGTTTCTGCCTCCCTAGCCTCACCTCTAATCTCTCTTGCCTGGCATTGAACCTAGCACTCATACACCCTGTCCTAGTTCTTTGAAGGCTGTGGTGATCTGTGCCCTCTGGCCATGCTCCCTACCATCAATAATACCCACCTGCTCCTTGCTCATCTGGTGAATCCCTGCTTATCATCATCAAAATCCGCTCAACCAATTCCTCCTCTAACAGCCATTCTTCTTCTCCCAAGGAGAAATTACTTTTTGCTTTAGTGCCTCAAATGTATCCCACACATGCTTCTTGAACAGCATCTATAATCCCTTACTGTGCTTATTTAAAAGCACAAGACATATTCCTCTCTAGTCCAGACAGGTGCTCAACATATGTTTGATGCTAGCTAGCATATCTCATGAGTGAAAAAATAAACAAACAAGAAAAAAAAAGATCTTTTTCTAGATCAGTTTAAGGGGCAAAGGCATCACTAATCAAGAGGATTCCAGACAATCTATGCCAGGTGTGCAAGCATTTCTTCTTTCCTGAAGATGCTTAAACTATGAGGAGAACTATAAAGGTGAGGGTTGAACACAGTTTTGCCAGGCTGCAGGGGACTGTATTATACACACGGTTTCCTGCTAATGATAAATAATAATAAGAGTAGCTATTTTTATTGTGCACTTACTCAGTGCCATGCAAAGCTCATTTGTACATAAGGGTTTATGCATATAGTTGAAAACCACCCTAAGATACAGATTCTATTATTATCCCCGCTTACAATGGAGACAAAGTGTCTTAAAGAAGTTCAAAAAGGTCAAAAAATAAATGGCAGATCTGGGATTCAAACCTAGGGATCTGGCTTCAGAGTCTGTATGTATGCTTCCTACTCTGTGGAGGTAGATATATATGTGATTTATAAACATGCACACAAAATTAATTATCTCATTTGAATTCAGAAAATAAAGTCATATATGATTGATGCATGAGTTTAAACCAAGACTTGTAACTTAATAATAACTGTACTATCCTAAAAACTGAGCAAAATTGCATTTTACCCAATCAGTTACTAACAAACATATTCAGTGAGGGCTTACTATGTGCTTGGTTGGGTAACAAAGACTATAGGACATGGTCCATTCTTCCAAGGAGCTTAATATCATGACATTATTTTGAAAGCATACTAAAATCTACACATCCAGACAAGTGATCATCTGATTTGGGGAGATACTTATCTACTGCTCAAACTGCCTTTGGAAACAATTTATGAGACATACAAGAACAGATTTCACTACTTTAAGGTCACAGCTTATTTTTATCCCAAGGAGTGCTATCCATCTTAATCACTGACTTACTTGACATTCAGTTAGTTTAAAAATATAGCCCAAACTCAAAGGATGAAAACTTACTCTACTATTTGTGTGGATGCATCCCATGAATACACACATTCATATAGGTAGATATAGCTACATGCACATTTATCCTATGGTTTATGAGGGCAATTCCCAAAGTCCAGTGCTGTCCAATTCAATATAGTGTAAGCCATATATGTAATTTGAAAATTTATAGTAGCCACGTTTTCCTTCATCAATAATATTACTTTAATGTGACATTTTGGTTTCTGTGATAAGTTATTAACAACTTTTCACATCTTTCCATTTGACAAAGTGAAATTCACATATTTTAATAATAGTTTTGTTTTCCTTTTTCTTTTCATTCTAGTAGTAATCACATTTCAAAAGTACAAGAAACAGGTGAAATTAATTTTGAAAATACATATATATATATTTTTTTTAAATAGAAGGAAAAGTATATTTGAGGGCTCACAGTTTCAGAGGTCTCAGTCCACAGATGGCTGATTCCATTCCTCAGGACTCCTGGTGAGGCTTAAATTTTAAAATTTTAATCTGATGTCTAAACATTATTTCTGTAATACCTAGTCAATATAAAAATTATTGATAAATTTTACACTTTTTTCACACTTGGCCTTGGAAATCTGGAGTGTACTTTGTACTTCCAGAACATCTCAGTTTGGACCAGCTGCATCTCAAGCACTCAAGCGCCACGTGTGGCTAGCGGCTGCCTTATGGAAAAGTACAGAGCACATTCAGAACTGTGGCTGTCACCTAGAGTCAGGGTCCAAGTGCCCATTCCCGTTGCAACTTATTCTGCAAATAAGGACACTAAGAGGAGCAGCGTGTGCCTGCAAGCTCAATGCTGCAGAGGAATGAAAGACCATTTGTGATCACATTTAACTGGGAATAAACTTCAAATAAGGTTAAGAGTTTGGAGGAAAGAACAATTTTAAAAAGTCAAATTTGGGGCTGGGATATAGCTCAGTGGTAGAGCACCTACCTGGCAGGTATGAGGCACTAGGTTCAATACTCAGCACCATATACAAATAAATAAGTAAAATAAAGGTATTGTGTCCATCTATCTCTCTCTATATATGTATATATATGTATTTATATATATATATGTAAATAAAAGCCAAAGTCATCCCCATGGAGCCCAGCTTATCAGGAAAGGATGGGAAGGTATTTTATAACACTCAAAGGTTCCCTCTACTAGATAGGAATAAGGTGCTAAATGAGCCAAGAAAAACTCAGTTCAAATCAACTAATGATACAGTCAACTACATGACTCTGCCAGGATCCCACTGGATAGATTTGTAAGCAGGTCCTTTAGATATGTAAACAGATATGTATTATAAAGCTACATGAAATTTGAACCTGAAATATAGAAACACCTTACTTGGTAACAGCTGTATAATCTCTTTATAATCTATGGACCGCAGCTAACTCAAGTGTACAAGTGGATCCAATAATCTCTTATAGCTAGGGTAACCTATAATTTATTATGCAAACTTGGACCCACTCAAGAATAAAATGGGGACACTATTCATAACTATGCTGGGACAAGAGGCATAAACCAAGACTGGTTTTTTTGTTTGTTTTGTTTTTTAGATGGAGTCTCACTATGGGATTACAGGTATATTCACCATGCTCAGATCAACCGGGATTGTTTTATAGCTGTAAAATTATATAATCCTATATTACTGAATAGATACAACAACTGCCCCTATGCAGGAAAGTGCAGCCGAGGAAAGTCTAGTATGTTCTTATTACCTCTGTATGGCCAAAGGGGCTTTGTGGGCTAGCATACATGGATCTGCGTGAGGTGGTTTCACACTCCCACTCCAAACCCCCTATAAAGCATTTTAAATTGGTTTGAATTTGGGAACAGGGTTCCATATGGACAGAACTGGACTTTGACAGCCTGAATGTATTTACTGAAGACAACAAATCACTGACAGACTCAATGTAACAGAGGAAAGGCCTGGCCTGCTTGTACTCAGAAACTTACTTTGTAATCGAAGCCCCCTTTAGACAGGCCTAATCAATTAGAAGAGGCTGATTTTAACCAGTTGCAGGCTCATTACCCTGCATTCCAGTTTGTGTTGATGAAAATCAGTTTCAGTCTGTGGCCTGGAACTCATGTACAGCACTTCCTGTAGCCTCTTATATAAACACATCAAAAAATTTATTTGGAATTGCCTTTCTCCCTTAAAAAAAAAAAAAACAAAAAAAACTTTGTGAATTGTGATTAAAATAGAACAGTTGCATGTGGGTCTGGAGCACATGCCCAGAAACATACATGACCTAAAATCACAGAGGATTTCAAAGCTTGAGGCAGCAACTGTGACATGCACCAGTGTGTAAGGGTACACTCGAGACAGGAGTGCAAATGTTCTGGCTCCAGCACCAAATGAGCCAGCTTGCTTATCTACACAGCACGGAACAGAGCGAACAAGTCATTGAAAAGGATGACCTTTCAAAGAAAATGCATAAAACAGGAAAAAGTCAAGGTCTGCGAGACACAGAGGGTATCTGAGTAGAGTTCATACTCTTCTCTGAATGACCAAATAGAAGATATTTAACAGCAAACTTCCAAGTAAACAAGGACAAGTTTCCTTGAGAAGCTTCTAGGAGGGAGCCATATGGCACTGGGTTGAATTCTGACGGATGGTTGGTCTTACTGAAGTAGGTGGGAGTGTGTGGTGGAGCTACTCAAACCCCACCCACATTTCAAAGACCTGTGACCATTCCAAAATGATATAACTATGAATCATACCTGGCTGGTTGCCCTTTGTGGCTTTGTCGAGGCAGTATGTCAACACCAAGATAATGTCAATATATACAGCTCTGGTCACCAAACATGGATTTTGCCTAGAAAGGTAAAGAACAGAAAATAAATTGATATTTTTCTCTCTCTGAGGCCTGAGTCACAGGAAGAAGAAAATGGGTGTTTTCTCTCAGGCGCATCAGGAGGCTTAGGCAGTCATGGCAAATGCTAAAATAAGATGGACGACAACATGAGGTAAGCAAATGAGCAATTCAGTGAGAGTCCAAGAGCATATGGTGGAGGCTGGGGCTGTGTGTGGACCAAACACATAAAATGCTATCTATGCTCTGGTTCCAAACAAAATAAGTGGAAATCAAGCAAAACCCAAGATCCTAACTTAGTTCACTGAAAATGAGATGGGGCGGGAGAGATGATATTGTACCATCCCCCTCTTGTTTGAGTGTGAGTGTGGTACTCTACCACTGAGCTACATCTCCAACACTTTTTAGTTTTTATTTTCAGACAGGGTCTCGTCTCACCAAGTTGCCTAGGCTGGCCTGGAACTTGTGATCTTTCTGTCTTAGCCTCCCAAAGGGACTTTTTTTTGAGCACAGTTCTTGAAGGGCCCTGGCTCCAAGTTATAGTGATCAAGGAAGGGGCCAAACTCTCTTCGGTGTGCTAATGATCTGGCAAGGGTGGTGAAAATAGTAGATATCACTAGGTCTGCCACTTGTGTGATGGCACCAAAACTGGCACCAGTTAGAGGATTTCCTAAACCCAACCTTCTCATTCCCTGTAAATTAACAGTTTTACCATTACTCTAAAGCTTATTCCCACCTCTATTCTTACCTGCCCACATCCTGGAGCTGGCGTACATTCTGACATGAAGGCCTGAAGCAAAATGGTCAGGTGGGCTCTTTGTTGCTGACCTGCCTGCCCTACCTGAGCCCCAATGACTTGTCCATGTACAGTACCTGCTGGCTTACTGACTCCTACCTCCCAAACTGCTAGTTTACATGACACCTCAGGTCTGGCCTAAATACCTATGATTAGCTATTTTTAAAACTTAGTTTTAAAAAATAGGTAACACATGTACACAGTACAAAAAAAAAAAAAAAATTCAAATAGTACAAAAGGGCATGCAGTGAAAATCCAGTCCCTCTTCCATGACTCTCTCCTCTGCCCACAGTCTGTTTCCCTTAGGAAACCACTGTTATTACTTACTGGCTGATCCTTCCAGGCACCTTCTATTCATTTATAACCCACTTGTTTATCTTTACATAAACGGTGGTTTACTACATACTAAGTTCTGAGCATTACTGTTTTTCATGAATATGCTTTGGACACCATCCTGTTAGGGACATAAAGAATGCCTCATTTTCTTAATGGCTGTAAATACTCCATTTCATGAACTTATCTGTCCCTTTTTGACAGAATTCAGACTAAGATAATCTTCTACTGAATACAGTGTTGTAACAAATATATTTGTTCAATAGTTTTGTGCATACGGATATATCCTCACAGGAAAATTTCCTAGAAACTGCTGAATTGAGGTATCTGCACATTTAAGTTTTTCACTGACTTTAGTAATATGTTTTCTAAAGAGGCTGAACCAATTTACACGTTTGCCAGCAGTGTCTAAGAGTTCCAATTTTCCCACAATCTGGCCACCCAGTCCATTATTAAACTTTATGACCTTTGCCAAGATGATAAGTATAAAAAACAATTTCTCTTTGTTTTGAATTGAAATTTCATTAAGGGTGATGTTGACTACCTCTTTATATACTTCTTTCCCCCTCCCTTTCTTTCTTTTGTTGTACTGGGGATTGAACTCAGGGGCTCATGCATGCTAGGCAAGTGCTCTACCACTGAATTATACCCCCAGTCCTTTTCTTTTTATTTTGAGACAAGGTCTCATTAAGTTGCCCAGGTTGTCCTTGAATTTGGGATCCTCCTGATTCAGCCTTCTGAGTAGCCAGGATTACAGATGTGTACTGCCATGCCTGGTCTTCATATGCTTTTTGTGGTGCTGGGTACTGAACCCAGGACACCTCACACATGTTAGGCAAGTGTTCTACCATTGAGCCAGTCCCCAGTTCTCTCTTCAAATGCTTTCAAAAAAAGGATATTTGAGGGCTGGGATTGTGGCTCAGCAGTAGAGCACTCACCTAGCACGAATGAGGCCCTGGGTTCAATCCTCAGCACCACCAAAAAAAAAAAAAAAAGGATATTTGAACTTCCTTTTCTGTGACTTATGTTCAAATCCTTCATTGCTATTTTTTCCTGTAATGATTTGTAGGAGCTTTTTGCATATGAAGGAAATCTGCACACTTATCACATATGGTTTTTATAGTTTTTCATGTTTTTATAATTTCTTTACCAATTAAAAAGTATTGTTTTATGTGTCAAACATATTAATATTTTCATATCTTCTGAGTTTTGTTATGATTACAAAGTACAATTTTTCTCTGATATTTACACACGCACGCATGCGCACGCACACACACACACACACATTTATATAGATCATTTTTTTTCTTGGTACTGGGGAGTGAAGCCAGGGCCACTTTACCACTGAGTTAACATCCCTAGCCCTTTTAATTTTTTATTTTGAGACAGGGCCTCACTAAATTGCTGAGTCTGCCATTTAATTTGTGATTCTCCTGTCTCAGCATCCCAAGTTGCTGGGATTACAGGTGTGCACCACCATGCCCAGCTATATAAAAATTTCTAATGCCCATATTGTCTTATAGTACTTTATAGTTCCACTTAAAAACTATTTGCAACTTCTATCTTTTCTTTCTTTCTTTCTTTCCTTCTTTCTTTCCTTCTTTCTTTCCTTCTTTCTTTCCTTCTTTCTTTCTTTCTTTCTTTCTTTCTTTCTTTCTTTCTTTCTTTCTTTCTTTCTTTCTTTCTTTCTTTCTTTTTCTCTCTCTCTCTCTCTTTCTTTCTTTCAGTTTTCCAATTCTTAGGAACAAGATGGCTGTGAAATCTGCTGCCTTTCTGAAGAAAGCCTGGGCCTAGGAGCCGGTGGTTGTGTCCTTCGCCATTGGAAGTCTCTCTGAATTCTGCCCCCATTCAGCCCCTACACCAAGTATGCCATCACGATCAACAAGGCCACACCCTACAACTACCCAGTGTCCCTCCAAGATGATGGGAACGTGCCCGATGTGCCTGTGAGCACTCCCATTGACAGGGAGGAGGCATCTTAGCCTAATAAAACGTGACCCCCTCCCCAATTTTTTTTTTTTCCAATTCTGCCTCTTCCTTTTGTCTCTCTCTAGTTCCCCAGGCTTTTCAATCATAACCTCTTGCTATCACTCTCCCACCCATTATGGAAAGCCCACCATCTACTAGAAACTTCTTTGATGATATCATTCCCATTTCTGGGCCTTCCTTTTTTTTTTTTTTAGCTGCTCAAAACATTACAATGATCTTGACATATCATACATTTGATTCAAATGGGGTATGAATTCGTATTTTTCCACGTGTACAGATTGCAGGATCACATTGGTTATACAGCCATGTTTTAACAGCTGAGAACTTCCCCTCCAAAGAAAGGGCCACTCAAAACCAAAAAGCAGACGGCTGGTCCTGGGACAGAGAAATGTGAGCCGCCAGACACCTCACACAGGGCTGAAAACATGGCTCCAGAGAGCAGGTGGAATGCCTCCTGTGCATTCAGCTTTGAGCTGGCTGTGAGTAGGAGACACACATGAGATAATTTCTGGCCTGAGAATTTTGTCTACTTCATGGAAAGGGCTTATGAAGATATAATTCCAACTGAGCAGTGTATGATGGGAAGAATTTAGATCGACAAAGTTGATAAAGAAGAGCATTTTGAAAAGGGGCAACCGATGGGGGAAGGAATGCGTTTGGCTGGTCCAGGGACTGATGGACACCAGCCTGGGTGGACTAGAGAATGTGTTGAGCAGGCAGGAACAAGAACAGGGCAGGCTAGGTTCCTAAGATGGGCTACTTCACACTGACTGGGTGCTCCTTGGTGTCGTTATTTTCTGCCTGCCACCACGTGGCCTTCCACAGTCAGCTTATTGCTCAGGATGTTTTTCTGTGGAGCCATATGGAATAAAGGAAAGTTTGTGGGAAACTGGTTTGTCTTTCAAGTTTGATGATGAGCCTGGTTTCCATGAGATTTTTTAGTTAATATTTAAAAAATGTTTTTTTCCTAAATGAATAGAAGAAATAAAAGTAAGAAAATCTTTAAAGCCCCCTGTCAGGCTGCAGTGTTCTGCATCTTTCCTAGGTCTGGCACATGCTGGCGACCTCACTAGCCTTGTGGCACACCTCAGGGACCGCTCCATGACTGAGAGGCTTCAGGCCAAGTCTGCTATGATCAAGAGGACCATGGGAGGCTCCCTCACAAAACTGCTGCTCTCGAGCCCAGGAGCAGAGGATCTGGGGCACAGTGGAGTCCATCCATGACTTCGGGATAGCCCAGAGAATAATTTGGCCTATTGCTCACCCATTCAAGGCTCCACCCTCCAGATAACAGGACTGTCTGGAGTCACAGAGTTGGGTTTTCTCTGGACTGGCTTCTATGTCAGGAAAATAATTTTTTTCTCTTGCTATTACTTGGTGTTTGTTCTAACTTGGAAACGGTACACTGTGAGTTCAGGGTGAGCCAGAGGTTTGTTCTTGGTCTGTCAAGCCACTTTGATGATGGGAATAAAATCCCGAGAACAGCAAGCCAGCTGGACAGGAAACCAAGCCACAGGGTTTTGGTGGGCTAGGGGATTTTTTTCTCTACCCCCAAATGGAAAAATCCTGGCATGGGCATAGTATAATGAAGATTTATAGTGCCTGAAAAAAATCAGAAGGCGTTAGGGTCCAACAGACAGACTGAAAAACAGCATATTAGTGGCTTTAGAATATGAGGAGTCAGGTATGAGGACCAAGTTTATATACATAAAATGGAACGAAGGTCTTTTTAAGAATCTTGATTTCTTCCACTGTTTTTTTTAAACATTTGACTCTTGACAAATATCTACCCAAGAACTTGGTGAATAATTTTGCCCTGGGAAGTCTCTACATTTCATTAAATATCCCGCCCTCTCTCCTGGAAGTTGGGGGAAGCAGAAAGCAGGGCAGAGAGCAGGCCTCCCAGCCATGGCCACAATGGCCCTAGTGTCTAGAGGGCAGCAGGAGCTCCTGGGAAGTCTGTGATAAATTATTCACTTCTCCTATCCCTTCCGGAATCCCAGTGGCTGCAGATCTTTTTAAACTGGGGCCTATTCATTCAGAAAACTTTTATTAAGAAGCTACTGAGAGCCAGGAATAGTGCCAGAGTTTGGCAATATAAAGATAAAATGATTCAGGGACAGTAGTCACTGCCCTCAAGGAACTTAGAGTCCTGAATAGTGTTTTTCCAACTGCAGGTTATGATTCATTTAATTAGTTATGAAATCAACTAGTGGGTGGTGACCAGCATAAGAAGGGAAGGAAGAAAGGAAAGGAGGTAGGGAGAGAGAAAGGGAAAAAAGAGGAAAATTAAACCAGTGTAGCAAAGTCCTAGGGGTAAGCACTATTTCATTAATTTATTTGTTACATATAGGATTTCTATAAAGTCCTTGGCCCAAGTGAATTTTTTAATGTTATGTATAAATATCTTTAAACAAGATGTAAATAATTAGTGAAATACAACAATTTTAGGTAAAATTGATTTTTTCTTTTCTAGGTAATAAGTCACATTACACTGGATGGTATCAACAGAGTCATGCTTGGCATCCAACATGATGGTGGATATGCTGAAAGGTAGCATTCCTGAAATTAAATATGATAAACTTGGAGAAATTCCCTCTCTGTTGTAATTTTTTGAAGTTTATATACAGCTATTACTAAATAGCTATATATAGCTAT